AAATAAGAGTTGCTTTATTTTGTTCAATCCAACATTTCCCAAGCTTATTCAATCCCAACACATTTTTCTTTTCAATAATGCCTATACCTTGAGAAATACTGATGTAGGTGAAAAATAGAAAACAATATCAAAAGATGGTTGGAAACCATAAATGCTCTCAAATCATAAGGATAGATCAAATAAATAGTATGTTCTTAAAGACATAAGAAGTCATCTTATAGGTCAGGTATGAGCAGTTTTAAGCAGGGGAATGATATAAAATGTTCTATTTTAGAATGAATACTTTGGCTAATAAGAGAAAGATACATTGGGTTGGAAGATGATGTAAACAGTGGAGGGTGGGGTTGTAGGGGGATACAGAGGTGCGAAAATGAAGCAACAGAGTTAAATTAAGAGAAAAGATTCAGGAAAGCTTCACAAAGGAAAAATCCTCCCTCACTGACTAAGAAATCTGTCTTGCTCAGGGAGCTTACTCTTCTCTCATAAATGTATTAGGGAAAAACAGAAGCTTCCTGTTTTTAGGATAATCCAGTCCAGTTGTCTAGGAAGGCCAACAGACAATACTACCTTCTGGGAACAGGTATGCAGGGGGACTCTGCAGGAGACAAAGGCAGCAATGAGAGGCTGAAGTGGTGGACTGCACAAAGAATTTAGGTCAAGACAGTCTTACCTCCTATTCATCTGTACAGAAGATCTGCCCCCTGTATGCCAGGAAATTTTCTGTTGTCTCCTTTGCCAAACCCTCAAGTCTTCTAGGACAAACCTAAACAGCATATAGTCTAAAAAGGTCCATATAGTCAAAGCTGTGGTTTTTCTAATAGTCATGTATGGATGTGAGAGTTGGACCATAAAGAAACCCGAGCCCCAAAGATTTGATGCTTTTGAACTGTGGTGCTAGAGAAGACTCTTCAGAGTCCCTCGGACAGCAAGGAGATCAAACCAATCAATCTTGAAGGAAATCAACCCTGAATATTCATTGGAAGGACTGGTGCTGAAGCTGAAGCTCCAATATTTTGGCCATCTGATGCAAAGAGTTGATTCAATGGAAAAGACCCTAATGCTGTGAAAGACTGAGGGCAAGAGGAAAACGGGGGTGACAGAGGATAAGAAGGTTGGATAGCATCACTGACTCAATGGACATGAGTCTATGCAAACTAAGGGAGATAGTGAAGGACAAGGAAGCCTGGAGTGCTGCAGTTCATGGAGTTGCAAAGAGTTGGACATGACTTAGTGACAGAAGAACAACAACAACAATCTTCTAGAGATTCTGAAAGGGTTTAAAGACAGGGCACTTGAGAGGAAAACATTACATGTTTACATGATTTGGAGGTTTCTGAAAAGACTGTGCTTAAGTAGAGACTCTAAAGGGCAGCAGATCAATTGTACTATTTATCAACTGTGAGATACTGGGTCCCACACTTAAACTTCTCTGAACTTCCTTTTCCTTTATCAAATGAGTTTGCCACCATCTACCTGCATGAAACTAAAGTGAAATTATTTGAGTGAAGTTACAGTCTGAAGATTATAAAGGGCTATAAAAATGTCAGTTATCTGTATTCTGAGTGAATTTTATCTCATTTGAAAGCATGTTTTAAAGGTTATACTTGGTGGGAATTGCCTGGTGGTCCAATGATTAAGACTCAGCAGCTTTCACTGCCATGGCCGGGGGTTCGATCCCTGGTCTGGGAACTAAGATCCCACAAACTGTGCATGCACAGCAAAGAAAGAAAAGAAAGACTACATTCAGTAATACTGTACTTAATAATATTAATGTGAAAGTTTTCCCACAGAAGTTGGTTCCCTTATTTATGAATATAAAATTGTATTCAAGTACAGGAAAAGAAAAATTCAAGACTCTTTTCTATGTCCCAAAAATATTCATAAACAAATAATATTTTAATATATAGTGCTTTCATCATGAGTAATCACCGTGAAACTAGTGATCAGAACTCTGTAAGATCACTCATATGCTCCCCTCACCCCACCAAATAGACACACACATACACAGAGTAAAGAACTTGATAAATTTGGCTGACAGGAACTTGATCTGTGGTCAGTAAGATGATCGGGTATGAGAAGAAATTACTGGGGTCTTAGGCTTCTCTTCTAGTTCTCATCCATGACTTTTACCTGACTCAGAAGAACAACAGTTTGATTAAAACAAAACAACTATTTTTCTCATGACATTAGAAAGAGATGGCAAAACCACTGGCCACATCCCCACCTATTTGAGAAGTGATAGCAATAGAAAGTTACTCCCTGTTTATCTAATATCTTCACCTGAATTCTCAGAACACTCTGAAAATATCAATTAGGACTCTCAAGTAAGGAAAAGATTAGGCTTATTTCAGACAAGAAAAATAAAAGTAGGTAAGAGGCTGTTAAGAAGAAGAATCAGAAAAGAAACCAGATTCTAGCCTCTTTGGCTCTCTCAATGTTGTAGGCCACACTTGATGAAATGACCCAAACAGTAGCATCCCCAAAAATGCTGATAAGCTTGTGCTTTATAAAGCTCTGAGAGAAAAAGAATACTTAACTGGCTTTGGTTGGAGTTAACACCAGTGTTCTGAGCCTGGTTCCACCACCCACTAGTTGTATGACCCTAAATAAGTCACTCAATTCATTTAAACTTCAGTTTCCTTATCTGTAAAACTAGATCAAATGTATCTTACAATGTTGCAAGGATCAAATTAAATTATGTATGCATGACACATGGATACCACAGATCAGTCCTGGGTGTTCATTGGAAGGACTGATGCTGAAGCTGAAACTCCAATACTTTCGCCACCTCATGTGAAGAGTTGACTCATTGGAAAAGACCCTGATGCTGGGAGGGATTGGGGGCAGGAGGAGAAGTGGACGACAGAGGATGAAATGGTTGGATGGCATCACCGACTTCAATGGATAAGGGTTTGGGTGGACTCCGGGAGTTGGTGATAGACAGGGAGGCCTGGCGTGCTGCGATTCATGGGTTCGCAGAGAGTCGGACACGACTGAGTGACTGAACTGAACTGACACATGGATACTCAGATTCTAGTCTGCTTGCGCTCCTTACACTTCACCTTCTTTAAAGCCACAGATTTAAAAGTTACATTAAAATTGTTATAATTTTTTAACTAATTAAAAAAATACTTGACTAATATAAAAATGGCCTAATTGGTTAATAACTTCCAAATCAGGAATGGTATAGAGTTATCATCAAGATTGTAAGTTAATTCCTGTCTATTTTATTTTTTAAAAAATTCCTGTCTATTTTAATTGATGTGAGCAAAGACAGAGATTGACTCAGAGAAATAAACAAAAAGAGAACTTTCCCAGAAATAAAATGTCAGTGATGCCACATTTCCCAGTTAAAATTCAAGGAAATTCACATCTCAAAAAGGAGATAATATACTATTCCAAAATGAACCAAATAGTGTTCTCTTAAGTAAATATTCCTTTAGTTCAGAAAATAGATCAATACTGTCTGTAAAACTTCAGTATCACATAAATTAACTTCTTAAGACTAGGAAGACTACCAGATCGCCAGATAAAAGCAAACTTTTCCAAGGGCCTACAAGGTTTTTTTCTGATACTTATTATTAATAACTGAAAGTGAAAGTGACCTACCATAGACAAACACCTCAACCTTTGACCACAACACTTCAAAGTAATTTAGAAACCTCATCTCAGTGAACTTAAATAACACATACATTCTAAATAAGCTTGGCAGAATAGAAAAATAAATTAACTCATCTTACTCCCCTAAGACACTCTATGACAGCTTCTTTTGAAGGAGACAAATAGCAGCATCATGGAAATCATAAAACAGCCTTGATATATAGGCTATGATTAAAAGCCCTTAGTTCTTTTGAAAGAAAAGAACACACAACTTTTTATTAGGAGTCCCTAGCCTCTTTTTGTCCTCAAAACATGACACCCAAGAATAAAATGATCTGGCCAAGGTCACAGAGCAGGTAATGGCACAGTCTGATGTCCCTCTTTCCTGCACGCAACCATCTGTGGGATGTACTGACAGTAACACACAATCAGATTTTTAAAAGTAAAGGTGGGGGGGTGGGAGGCGCCGGGGGCGGAGTGGGGGGCTTTCCACTGAATTCTCTAGATGGCAAAATCTAGTGGTGTTAAGTCTTTGCATCTACTGCCCATTTTCTCACTGACCTTAAAAAGTCAGCATACACAGTGCAACATCAAGAACTCAAGATCGGAGGAGCTGGGAACCACATTTTCTCTTAAACATATCAATCCCTGGGCATCCTTCTCAGTGCCCCCCATTGCCTCTCTGGACAAAGAAAGGGTCTGTCCACTCCACACCCTGCCCAAGGCAGCAGTGTAAGGACCACAGGGGTGGCCACACAATAGCCGGGCACAGAAGACACACCACAATGCCCAGGTTGTCCCCAGAACGCTGCCAGTGAGTTGTCCTTTCCCGCTAGAGACATTTCAGTCACCTGCATCCGAACTTTCAGCAGTGGTGGTCTCAGGAAGAGCACACCTTCTCCTGCAACGCTGCAAAGTTTGCCCCTAGTCAAATGGACACACCCCTCCAAAGCACTGCCCCTTCAGAATGATGTTCTTATTGAGTCCTCTGCCAGATATCCCCTCCCTATCCTCATTCAGAGATACCCCCTTCCTCTGGAGAGGGGCGTTCGCTGGACCAAAAACAGCCTCTGCCTCCTGATTTGATGGACAGCTCCCTTCTTACCCACAGCTCGGCCCCCACCTCAAGTCCTCAGGCAGGGGTTGGGTACTGGGTGCGTTCACCTCACGCGTCTGGGCTTGCTGACGGTTACCGGTTACCAGCCCGCCGTAACTGCCGCCTGGCCTCCCTCCCTCTGGTCATCCCTCACCTCTCCCTCTACGCTGGGACACGGACACACACACACACACCCGGTGCGTGGAAGACCGCCCCTCGCGGCCGGCCACACGCGGGGTCTAGCCTTCGGCCCCAGGCCCCCTCCGCCGCGGCCACCGCCCCAGGGCCACGCCCCCGCGCTCACCCGCAGTCCGGGGCTGGGCACCAGCGGCAGTCGGGGTCCGAGGCCAGGTAGCGGCGCAGCATGAACTCCTCGTACTTGTGCATGAGCGGCGGGTCGGCGAGCAGCAGGCGGATGTCGTGCGGGTTGAGTCGCTCGCTGCACTCGGGGCAGCTGATGGGGACCCGGCTCTCGCTGATCTCCAGGCGCAGGTAGTGGCGGAGGCAGTCCCGGCACGAGCGGTGCGGACAGCTGAGGAGGCGCGGGGCCCGCTCGGGCGGCAGCCGCACCAGGCACAGCGGGCACTCCACCTCCTCCGGGCCCGAGCCACCGCCCTCCGCCGCCTCCTCATCGTCTAACCCGGGCCCCACTGTCGCCGCGGCCTCCGCCTCGGCCTCGGCGGACGGCTCAGCGGGCAGCGCCTCGGGCGGCGAGGCTTGGGCCGGGGCGGGCGGCGGCGGCGCGGCCGGGGGCGGCGGCTCGGCCTGCGGCTTGGCTCGGGCGCGGCGGCCGCGGGCCGAGGAGGAGAAGACGCTGTGGAAGGTGAGGCGCCGGCGCCGGCCGCCGCTGCGGCACTTGGGGTCGGGCGCAGCCGCGTGTAAGGATGTAGAGCGCGGCGACTCGGAGTCTTTCTCAGAGCCCATGGTCCCCAGAGGCCGAGGGGCGAGGGGCGCCCAGCGCCACCACAGCTCCCGCCTCAGCGCCCCCTCGGCCGGCGACCCAGCCGCCGCCGCCTCAGCCGCCCTCCCAGAGATAGAAACCGAGCAGTAACGACGAAGTGGTTATAAAGCCTCCGCCCCGCGCGCCGATGGCCACTGCGCAGGCGCTTCGCGAAGATACCTCACAACCCGCGCCGCCCATGCCGGAGGGGGGGCGCTGGGCGGGGCCGAGGGGGGTGGGGCGTTGCTGGGCGTGCTGGGGCGGAGCTCCGCCCCCTCGGAGGGCAGGTGATTCCAGGGCCGCCATCTTGAGAAGATGGTAACTCGACTAGTTTACTTGGCCTCTTCCGTCAATATCATCGCCCCTAGCCGCATCGAACCTGTGGCGTAGTTTTCGGTTTGCCTTTCCTCGAGGTTGGGCCGATTGCTGTTTCCAACAAATGATATTTCAGTTTACTCCATCTGTAAAAAGCCGATGAGGGTAAATCAGATAGTGATTCCCAACTGGTCTACCTTCCAACACATCTTTAGTTGTTTTTTTACTAAGCAGTAATTAATAAAGAATATATTCATTGAGCTTCTATTAAATGGAGGCATTACTAGGTGAAACAGACAGGGTCTTCCTATCTGCGAGAGATTTACAAAATAAAATCCAAATCCCTCAATCTAGCATTCAGTACTTTCTGTGAGCTACTAAATTATTCCTAGGTCCACCGCCCATTCTAACCTTCTGGTAGTTTGGTTACTTACAAATTGTGGACGGATGCCCAGCATTTTGGGTGAGGGTGGTGGTGGTGGTGGGAATCTGCAAGTGCCTTTCTTCTGCTGATCCCCCACTGCACTGACTGGGGTAAGATACGGAGTCAGCCTTACAAATGGGAGACAAGCAAGCCGCTTTAACAGCAATGGGAATGTATCAGGTAGGATTAGACTCAGTTGCAAATAACAACAACAAAAAAAGGCTTATGATAGAAATTTATTTCTCTCTTCATGAGAAATAATTCACAAAAGTTCAAGGCTGCTCTGCCATTCTCAGTAACTTGGTTTCTAATCTTAAGGTCAACTCATTATGGTCCACATTCCAGGCAGTGGGGAAGGAAAAGAGCAGAAAGGTACACTCTTTTCCTTTTAAGAAGACTGCCTTGAAAGCCCGGCACATTTCTGCTTACATCTCATTAGCCAAAGCGTAGTCACATGGCCATACTGGGATATGTAGCTTTTTAACTGGGCACAATGTGTCCCTAAAAATAGGTGCTCTGTTATTAATAAAGATTGGTAGAAATTGTACTGAAAGATAACCAGCTGTCTTTCATGGGTGGTATTTAAAACCGTGAGAAAGGTCCCTAGGAATTAACCCTGGGAAACTTCAAACTTTTGAGGTAAACAGTGGAAGAAGAGCCAGCGACAGAAACGGAGAAGCAGGGACTGTGGCACAGGAGAAAGCTCAAGCTGGCATGATGTCACAGACACCTAGATAAAATGTTTCCAGGGGGAGTGGTCAATTATGACAAATCCCACTGAGAAATCAAAGCCGATAAGAACAGAGAAGTGATCACTGGATTTAGCAATACCAAAGAGGTCCATAAGGAGGAGAAATGTTCCTCCTCAAGGAGGAAGATTTGATGCTAGATGGCTAAAACAATTGGTTTCTGTATACTGGTCAAAGTATGCTGGGCTCTGCTGTGGTAACAACCCGAATATCTCAATGCTTTAACACATTGGTATATTTCTCCCACTCATACAAAGCCTGTCTATGGAGCAAGGCACTTTCCCGGTCACTCAGAGAGGTCCATGGCACTTTCTTTCTGGACTCTACCACCTCAACCCAAGGTCTTAAGGGTGGCCTCAATAGGGGAAAGAGAGCTGGAGGGTGTGTGTGTGTCTGTGTGTGTACATGCGTGTTCAGTCATGTCCAACACTTTGCGACCCCATGGACTGTAGCCTACCTGGCTCCTCAGTCCATGAGCTTTTCCAGGCAAGAATACTGGAGTGGGTTGCCATTTCCTACTCCAGGGGATCTTCCCAACCCAGGGATTGAACCTGCATCTCTTGTGTCTCCTGCATTGGCAGGCGGATTCTTTACCACTGTGCCACCTGGGAAGCAGGAGGGTTGTGCACCAGCAATTAAATACTTCAGTCTGGAAATGACATATGTTATTTCCACTCATAGACTATTAGACAGAACTTGTGACACAGGCTCAATTTAATTGCAAAGGAGGCTGAGAAATGTAGGGGGGAGGCATGGACTATTTATAATAGTAAGTGACATTATCTCAGCCACAGTTCCCTGTAATCATCATTGACTCTGTTCTTGGTGACCAATGTCCTGAGCAGCTGCTTGGAGGAGATGTGTGCCTGTTGTAGGGATGAAAGATGGGGGAGAAGGCTGCTTTGTTCCTTGGGTTAAAGTGTGCTGAAGGACCTGGGGACCTCTGATTCCAGACAGACCCAGCTGGCTTTGAGATGCTTCCTCCTGTGCAGCTGACAGAAACAACTGTCAGAATTGTTGAATAGCTTGCTGAAAAGCTCAACACACCAAATGCTTGCTTGTCTTGGCTCTGGTTCTCAAACAAACCCTGCTTCACCTCAAAGATGCCACCACCGGTGCTTTGGCAGAAAAGTGACCTCTCATAAATATCACTGGACTTTGCTATGACCCCATTTCTTCCGGGTTTTGTCTCCGGAATCCATCACCCTTGAAGCAAGGGATTAAAGCAATTCCTGTCACTTTTTACTCTGTGTCTCCACTTGATACAAGCGGAGCAGTGACTCAGGGAGATGACAGGAAAGAGAAGGACTCTCATCTGTTCACTCATTCAGTAAACATTGATTATACTTACTTTGTGGAAGGCTGTTTGCCAAGCACTAGGGTCATGGAGATGAACAGTCTAATGGAGTTGTGGACAAGAAAGCTTGTGTCAACCCTTCCTTAAAACTTTCTACAGTTCCCACAACCAGCTGCATCTCCTTCCATGCATCTTGCTTCTTTGCAAATGCTAATCCCTCTGCTTGTAATCCCATGCATGCTTTCCGGTTCATTTTCATGGTCATCACCCCCCTTTCTACTTTCAGACTCACCTCCTCTCATGTCCCCAGGGCATGATGTAGATAATTCCAGTGTCAATCAAACCTATTACTAGGATGACCACGTGACTACTGTCCAAACCCTGGACACTTCTGAGAATGAAAAGTGAAAATGAAATTGAGAGTGACTCAGTCATGTTCAACTCTTTGTGACCCCGTGGACTATAATCCACGGAATTCTCCAGGCCAGAATACTGGAGTGGGTAGCCTTTCCCTTCTCTAGGGGATCTTGGATCTTCCCAACACAGGGATCAAACCCAGGTCTCTCGCATTGCAGGTGGATTCTTTACCAGCTGAGCTATGAGGGAAGAAGCCACATTTGAGAATGAAAGGGAATGCTATCATCAATTGCTTCAGCTCAACAAGTGTCAATCAATCTGTTCCAGGCAAACTAAACATTATGGTCACCCACCTACACCTAACATTGTCGTAAAACCTGACACTTGATGCTTTCATGTCTCTCAGCCCTTTGAGATGATATTGTTATCCATATATTTTAAAAGTTTCTTTTTTTTTTAATGTGGACCATTTTTAAGGTCTTTATCAAATTTGTTACAGTATTGCTTCTCTTTTATGTTTTGAGTTTTGGCTGTGAGATAGCTCCCGAGACCCTGGGTTGAACCCACACCCCCTGCATTGGATGATGAAGTCTTACCCACTGGACTGACAGGGATGTCCCATTGTTATCCCCATTTTTAAGATGAGGAGATAGAGCCTCAGAGAGAGGAGACTTGTGGTCTCACACCCAGAAGGCAGCAAAACTGACCTGGGAAGTTAGAACATTAGATTTCAAATCCTGGGCTCTTCTGACTCTAGAGATCGGTAAGTACCACCACACCTGACTCCCTAGTACCACAGAGTCTTACTGTCTAAGTTAGTCATGTGTGGTTCTCCCCTAGACCCAAGATGTAGGGGGAAGGTAGAAATGCAGTCTTACTTACCTTGTGCACCAGTTCCCCCCAGCCCTTGGTGTAGAAAAGGTCTTAGGGCATGTTTGTTGGATAGATGACTTCTTGAGGTTAGAGCTTTATGTTTCATCTTTTAAACAACATTTATTTGTTTGACTGTGCTGGGTTTTAGTTGCAGCATGCGGGATCTTCCTTGTGGCACGCGGGATCTTGAGTTGCAGCATGTGGGATCTAGTTCCCTGGCTAGGGATCAAACCTGGGCCCTCTGCATTGGGAGCTCGGATTCTTAGCAACTGGATCACCAGGGAACTCTCTATGTGTTTCATCTTAAAATCTGAGCCCCTTTTTCAAACCTAGTACCTATCACAGTGCTTGCTATGCATCTGTTCATTCCATTAACACTTATTAATCACCTACCACGTGCCTGGTACTGTGCTGGTGATGCAACAATGAACAAAATAGACAAGGTCCCAGTTCTCATGGAGCTTACACAGTCCAGTGGGGGAAAACGTACAAAGACAATCACAAGTAAACACAGTTACAAATCAAGATAAATGCTAAGGAAAAATACTGAATTTTAAGAGCTATTTTGGAGGTACATTTAGTAGGTTTTTATCATAGATTGGATGGCTGAAACAGATGAACACAAAAAGAAGGCGCAGTTTGGAAAGAGAAAAATGTCGGTTTGGATGTGTGGGGCTGGACGTGTCTGTGGGGTTTCTGTTTTAATCTTCCCACGTCTAGCCAGGTTAACTGATTTGCTCCAAACTGAAAAATTGTGGCAAGGGAAAGAAACCCGCCTCAGCCAGCCCAAAGAGAGCTGGCCTCCAGCTAGCATGGTGGTTCTAAGAGGGGCAGAAGGCATAAGATAAGCAGAGAAAGGATGTGCTCAAGGAAACAATAATCAGACCTCCCAAGCTGCAGTGAAGACCGCGGCAAGCAGCCAAGGAGCGGGCTGCGTTACATCCAACGAAGACAGCAGGATCGCCGCGC